CGTGGTACATAGAATCGGCCTATTCCTTAAATCATACCATTTGCTCGAGTACCGTGGTTACCATGGTTACAAACCAAGTGTTTATTTTGCGTTACCATGGTTACAAACATTTAATTTATACACATTTCGTATTTAAAGTACAAAGTTCGTGTTTGAGGTCATCCTTAGGGGCGGAATTTTCCAAAATTGCTATGCCAATGTATTTGACAATTTCCCAAAGTTTCATGGCGATCGGATGAACGGTGTACTAATGCATAAAGGACAAAGAAACAAGAATTCATTTATATATATATATATATGTAGATTATTTAAAAAAGTGAGTTGTCCAAGTCAATAAAGTTGATTTAATTCAAATTTTCAATGTACAGTAGTATAGAAAGAGCATTTTCATGTATTCACAACGTTCCAAATAGAAATGAATAATAAATTCGATAATTTGAGGGGCCAAATTCTCTAAGGATTGTTTTGGGCCAGATATTATGAAAACACTAAAATATTAGCCAGAAACTTGATATGTTTACTAGCCACCTTAGGTACATAAAAATGTATCCCGTGGTGTTGAGGACTCGTGCGCAAGCTGTTATACGGAAAATGAACACCACCGAAAGGCTTTTGTGTTCGTTTTTTATTTGTTTTTTAGCCATAGCTATTGGAATTAAAATTTAATTTCAAGTAGCTGTAAATAAAGTACTATACTGAATAGTGAAAATATACTACATGTTAAATTGGTTTTATATATTTTATTCCAACAGAAAAATCATTTTCATGGACAAAATATACTGTGGTAACTTCAATGTGAAAACACCCATATAGAGTTATAAAAACAAACAGTAGTATATCGACTTATTTAGACCAAAAAAAAAAAAAAAATTGTTTTTCAGTGCAAAATTTTCGTACCCAAAACATCTGCGCAAATAAGAACAAGCACATCGACGAAAAACACAAAAACAATTTCTTATTAAAAAGCAAACGAATAGCTTTTCAATTCAAACCTACCTGTAAAATATATGTTAGACACAATTCTTAGCGTGTCACATAATATACCCAAGGTATAGCAGCTATACTATAGCCTATAAATCACATTTTAAAACGGAAAAATGTACGGTATTTTTTTATAAACCTCAAAGCTGATTTACAATAAAATGTTTTTCGAGATTTAACAGCTTTTCGTTTAATTTATTGTTGTCTTCTAATAACTTGGTGACGGTGGTTGAAAGAGATTTATAATTATTCGTTAACACCGGTTTGTTCGTGTAGCAACTCTATAAATCAGAAATCGTACCAGAAATGTACTTTAAATGGCGTTACAAAAAAAAACCCAAAAAATATCCCTAGAAAGGATAGTATTTTTTTTCTTTAAATCACTTTTTCAAGCAAAGTTTTTGGGATTAAGGTGTGAAATATAAACCGCGGGTAGAGCTACAATGGAACTTTTACATTATATATATACATATAAATTTGTTTTCAAAATTCTATAGTCTAACACTAAGTCATTAAGGAGAACCAAAAAAAAAAAAAATTGCACTATGTTAAATGACGAAAAATTATAATATAATATAATAAGGATTATTACACAAATATTAAAAGGAAATAATTAATTTTTTTTAAATTGTTTATACATTTATACTTTTATATAATTATATATAAATATAATAATTTTTATTATTAGATAACACATAAGGCATTTTTGGCAAACATTTTAAGACATTTTGAGGTGTAACATTTTTAATAATACATAATTTTATCAATTTTTCAAGCCGTTAGTTAAAAAATGTTTGTGTTGATTTTGGCCTAAGCCGATGTCACCCGTTAATGTTATAACAATATTGTCTATCTACATCGCCACTTTGGAGTTGATCCAGTAAATCGTATCCGCTTGGTGTAGCGTCCGTTTGAAAGTACTCGGTGGCAACGTTCAAGATACTATCGATTATTTGGTTGGCCCATCTAGTAGTCGGTATATTACTGAGATTCGGATAATTGGCAGTCGCCACCAAGCCCATCATGTTAACATATCGTTGTTTAAACTCCATGCATGTTTCATTGAAGAATCGTTTTCGTACCAGCAATGTATTTGGTCCATCCAACCTCAATACGTTGTAGGCGTCTTCTATTTGACGCACCGGATAAGTCGATACTAAATACATGTTAAACTTGTTTTTGATGTGTTCTATTACGGGATCGATCAATGCTAAGTGACGTTTAATAGCCGTCGTTGGCATCTTATCTATTATTTTAATCGATAAACTACATATTCTACCTAACATCGAAACGCCTTCACTTTCGATCACGTTCATAAGCCGAATGAATGCCTCGACGTAACGTCCTTCTGATACACAGTCCTCCACCACCAAGGCCAATGACCGATTTACGGCACGACAGCAATAGTTATTTCGTATAAAGGCCATAAAACTGGTTGCGTTTCCGTAAACGGTTGCCAGCGAATTTCCAGTGAATAAAATATTATAACACAGATCTGCGGTAACCGGAAAAGGCGGTGTCACACCGAACAGCTGTTGATATAGTTGATAATCCACTTGAACTTCCGGCTCACTAACACATATTTTTTGCGGGGCTTCTTTGGCCTGGTTCGGTTTATCTCGAGTATAGCACGTATTGTCCAAAAACTCCAATTCCATAAATTTCGACTCGGTTCGTTGCAAATCCCGAATGGTTTCCAAATTTATCACCGTAAACGCTGCGTGGCAATGGCGAACACCGTATAGTGCTATAACAAAGATTTGGTAGAAAAACATTTTTGAAAATTATATTTGTTGTTTTTTTAAAAAAAGCCAAAACGGGTATCTACGGTCAAACGATATTAGTTGTGACACGAACCCCAATTATTTTTTACAAAACGGGTAACTGCTCACCGCGAAGTATGTTGTATACACTGATGAAGCGTCGTTATAACTTATGTGGCAATCCGAAACTTTTTTTACAGTTACATTAGGTAGGTTAGATGTTTTACAAAAAACCAATATCAAGTCGACATTGGAAAGGTACAATGTTTGATGTACGTTTCGTGTACTTTACCCTTCACCGTCCTTCCTAAAAATAAAGTCAACAATTTCTTTTTTGTAACGTTACTATCCAAGCGTTTGCAAAGGCAAAAAAAAAAAAATTGATATACGCATGTGCAGATACTGGACTTGATTTTGGTACAATCTCGCTACGGCGGTTTATACCTTACTCGGTTAGACTGTCCTTATTTTGGTTTAAGCTAATTATAAAAGGAAAAAATCGAAAATCAGATAATGTTGACGGGAGGAGGGCCGTGGAATTTGGGTATTAATTGTTATGTAAATTTGAGCATTTCTCCGTACGCCAAAAAATGCTATACACTATAACAGAGACGGGTTTTTTCCATAGCCTAAATAGAAGATAATAAAAAACGTAGGATTGAATTTCGCATTCACGCAGTATAATGTGATTTGAATAATGTTCCGATTGATACATCTTATAAACGCTTATTTTAAAATTTTTCCTATTCTATGATTGATAGAAAAATTAATCTATCAAAGGCATCTATTTTCATGGAAGCTAATGATGTATAACATGACGTCAAATTAATGACTCGTGTGTTGACAATGTTTTCTTTTTTTTTCAGTTTGCAAACAAACTGCAGCGCCGATAATGAAATCGGTACGGTATTAAATCATTTAGGACACTGACGAGAAGTGATATTTGTAAGATATAAGAATTCTAGCCAAGAAAATAATGAGAAAACATTAAAATGTATTGCCGAATTGCAAGATATTGGGCCAAAAAGAAAATACATAAAATATAAGTTGTGTACGCGGATTTCTGTAAAATCGCAAACGAATTTCAATGCCAACACGAGCTAAGGCTTTATTTGTTTAATGTCATGGTTGTTGTTCGTGCGCGTTTGACAAAAGCCATACGGTATAGTTTCTAGCATAAGACGATTTTGACTGTGCAGAATGAGAAAGACATTATAATTTTTTTTTATAATTCTACAGTATTTAGTCCACCTAATTTTGATATATTTTTATCAAAAATAAACAAATTCATTTTGGTTTAACTAAAATCTGTGAAAAAAGGTCAAACATCTCAGAAGAATTTGAGAGAGTCGTCCAGTTACCAATCACCCTGTAAAATATGTATAAAAATATTAATACTTTGAAAAAGTTAAATGCTAGTAACAGTATTATTTTTATATCCGCTATTGACTATTATTGAACCCTGGCTGTTCTAAGGATGATGCTACTAACGGTGGTGCTTCAGCCAAAGACACGAATATTATTATACCCATATGCACTAAAAAAAATTCCTATAATATTTTTATAACACTGGTAAAATGAATAAAAAAAAAATTCAAACCTGAATATATTCTCTAACCTCCCAAATATGATCTATTAAAACATATTTGAATTTAATCCTTTAGCAGAAAAAATTATATTCTATTTATTTGTGTTCGCAGGTATTTAATTTTAGTACACCAATTTTTAACCCTCCAATGCGCCATTTTGCTTTCTTGCAAGAATCTTTTTTTTCCCTTTCTCATTATTTAATTCGTCATATTTCATCTTACTAGAGCAATCTAGCGGATAAATCTAAAAGTTTTTAATATAAAATTTCGGATCGGCCTGTTATACTTTCGTTGCCAGTCACAGATTGGTTTAAAAATTACAAATGCTCAATCAGTATTTTTACCGACATCCCTCATTTTTAATAACGTTCTGATAACAATTTTAAAAATGAAGGATACCGTTTTAAAAATAATGATCGGATCTTTATCAATCAGAGAGTTCGTTAAGAGATACTATTTTTTCCAATTAGAGCATAATATTTGGAAGGTGTTTGGAAGGGTGGAACATTTTTCAAATTTAGTTCACCAATTTTAATATAATACTAAGACATAGTTTAGACATAAATTCTGCGTGTACAAAACTCAATTTTTAATCTAAAGGTTTGCTAATATAACCCATTTCTCAATATACATATATATTTAGTTTCAAACATAGTGTAACATCCATTTAGCCATTATCAGTGCAATGTAAATCAATGACTTCATCCAAAATCTCTTGAATTCTATCAGTTTTTGTCGGAGAAGCGTTTGTAAAAATATTACCTGAAACAAACAATAGGATCTGAATTGTAAAAACACAAACATAAATATTTTTTTAGCTTCACACAACTGTACTTCTTCATTTCACTTTTTTTTCGAGTTAAGGTTTACAGATACCAATATTACCGATATGACTAGAGTATTTTTAGAGTGGAAATTACATCATGTAAATTTGATTTTTTTTTCTTCATAATTAATTCTTACAGAAAATTGATGATAATTTGGTACTCTGCATTTTAATTTAAATAATAATTTTACACTAATCTTACCAAGAGTAATAGCGCTTGGAGATATTTTCTCTACAATGTCTTTGCACTCCTTACGCTTGCTGACATGATAAACTTTGTGCTTATAGGGAAGTTCAAGTTTAGAAAAATCGCCAAGACTAATAGCCGGCAAACCGGTGTAAGGGTGTATGAAGTCAACCCAATATTCTTCACTCAGTAATCGATCGCTAATACTAAAAGCTGCATGGAGATACTAAAATAAAATATTTTGATATCATTAAGCTGATATGTCAATTATCGCGTAAGGATATATTAAAATAATTACGTGTCTCGTTAAGTTAGAAAGATTCGAGTTACATAAGTCTTCCTCCAAACTTATTGTAATTATACTTATATGAGAATTCTTAAGATGTGGAACATTGAATCTTTCTGTAATTTCTGAAACAATATTTGACAGTTTACTAAGTATTTTTAATAATATTAAAAGAGTTTTATTATATATATATGTATATATATATATATATATTATATTATATACCTGATTTTAATAAAACTGGACAGTCTTCCAAACGACAGTTTAAACGAGTAGTTATATCACAATTCTAGAAGAAAAAAAACAAATATTTATATTAATAAAATAGTTAAATATTTAAATAAACTCTTTACCACAAAAATAATTCTCTATAGTGTATATGTATTTCAGGAGCAATTTTACCATCATTAGTGCATACAACAGTCTGTTTATTTATATATATTATATATATAAGTATTAATAATAAAACGTAAAAGTAATAATGAAATCTAACTCAGGTATATTCTTTACCTATTAAAAACAATGTATTTATCACAACAACTAAAACCAATTTTTAATACAATACCATAAATGATGTTAGAACAATAAAACCATAATAAATTTCCATTGTATGACAACATACAGATTTCATTTGCAGTCAGTTAGATAAAAATCTCAAACCACAAAAATCCAGCAAATATTTAGTAGTTATCCAAAAATATAACGTTTTTATAAGAATTATCCATACTTTTAAAAACTTAACTGTATTTTTAATTAAACAAAAAAAAAACCCAGGTTACTTCCAACTCTGTTTGCGGCTCAATAGCATTTTATCTAATGACAACAATTTAGATATATTATTAGCCAGACTTACTTCAGGAGCAATACCGACATTATTAGGCAATTTAAATTGACTGTCTTTATTTTTCGGTATCAACCGCCAATTAGGGTTTGTTCGGAATTCAGAGTCCTCTATTTTCTATTATAATACAAACATATTTAGGTATTAATTAATAGTGTTTCAAATACGAGTTCAGATACAACTCTAACAGCATCTAATCATTACCTTGACAAGTAAATGCAAAATTGCTGTATATTATAGTTTAATAAAATAAATGAATATGCAAATGGCAAAACTAACAAAAAATTGAAATACAACAAAGGTTCAACGAATAAAAGTACCCGGATAATCAAATTTAATATTATTATTTGATGTTCTTAAATTATGAGTAAATTTTAGATTGCAATTTTGACAATTAGGCAAATAATTTTCTTAGTAAAGCCGTACATAGTGTGAATAGTTTACGTACACCTTTTAATCAATTTTCAGGATTTACTTACATAAAATAAATAGTTCAAAATCTATACAATGGCGGTAAGTAATAAAATAGTATAACCGTCAATGTATATGAAAATATAAAATTTGGTTCGAACAATTTTCGTGTAAAATGTATCAAAAGGCCTTGAATTGAGTATCTTAATCTTATTATTTTAGTTCTGCCTCGTATATTCTTTCAAAATATACTTTTTTTTTTACGAGTGCATTCTTATTGATTCTACTTACAGTTGATTGTTTTGATTTTATACAAAAAATATGCCTACAACAATAATTGGAATGAACATTTACAATAAAACATAGACAATTAAACATAATCTTATAATTATCATCTCATATTTCTATAAAAAATTAAAAAATTCAATATACACTTATTGTTTTTTTTATTAACAACAAATGTAGTAAAAAAAAACAACGCTATTTGACCGAATTAAATAAACTACGTTTTACATATTTTGTAACTATAACCGAAGAGTTACTTAGGTAATATTTTTAAATAAAATTCTACTAACCTTGAGACAATACAACATGATGAACGGTCCTAAATACAATATTTGATAGCAATCGTTCGATTTCAGAAGATTCGTCAACTGTCAATAAAAGGCTTTGCAATCATCTTTAATAATTGTTTATATTTTATGTGGTAAGTAAATATTTCTATGCCACTACGGAACTTTTCTAGCCATTATATTATATTCAGACTTACGCGTCAACTTATGATAAGAAAATAAATCAAGGTGAGTTGATAACAGTATTATATTATACTGATAACAACGATACCGCTTGGTTAAAACGTTTAAAATGTGACCATCAGCAAAGTGCATTAAATATGTATATTAAAATGTAAAGGTCTAGTGGTTTAACAGATGTTCAAAAATGTTTAAGAACTCACGAGTGAAAAACATGAATTAAGTGTCTAGAGGTCAATCTGTACATTATATTAAAACTTAAAAGGGAAAGAAGAGTGATAAAAACATTATTTCGATTGACTATTTGGCAGTGCTTATAAAAACGTTCAAAGAGAGGTTAAATAAAATGTCTCGATGCAAATCGTTTAATAATAGAGGTACAACATATTGTTTTATATAGTAATGTATTTACAGGAAGTCGCCTAGGGCGGTAAAGTTTGTTTGATGACTTCCCACTGAAAGAAATCCGTCTCCATTTACATATTTAGGTTAAAAAAATAGTTTATAAATATAATCATTCGATTTATGTGACACTAATTTAGTTTTTTACACTTAATCCAAAAGTTTACATTATTTTCTATTTTGTGTTCTATGATTTTATTCACTTTATTACTTATTAAAACTTAATCGTAAACCACTAGAAAGATGACAATTAATTCTGTAATAGCCAATGCCAAAACTATGCCATCATGAAAATAATTTCAAGATTTCGATTAAGACATTAACATATTTTAGAAATGTTACCGTTCTCAGCAGTATTTTATATTACATTAATATTAAATAAAGAACTCATCATTAATAATTAAAAAATAATATATGTGTAAGTACTTTGTGAATCCATCTTATTCTTCTTACCGACTTAATGGAAAACCGTTATCGGCAATTGTGTGCCACAGTAACTAAAACCAGGTAACATTAACCTAAAATGTACCTAATTTTTTATAGTGTAAAACAAAAAAAAATCTTATTTAAACAGCCCAATCTTATATTATGTATTATTTTTTACAACTTTACAAATTATACATTTTAATTATATTCAGCTATAGTATAGTAGTATCAATAAGACGTTTTATATGTAGTGTACACATATTTCTCACATAACGAAGATTATATTTCCATCCCTCTATTTTTCCATCCTCCTTTTATTTTATAGTAATATATTGTATTTATTGATATCAATATTACAACTCTGGTGGTAAGAAATTCCAAAAAAAATGTCGATGAAATAATTTAAACATATATTATTATGTAAATATGTGTAAATAAAATTGAAACAATGAGAGTACACATATACACAATTTAAATACATGAAAATTACATGTACTTAAACTCTAGATTGACTTGATTGAAAGCTTCAACGCTAATGAAATTGGATCATATTTTTTAAAAACTATAAACAAATTTGACCGTATCATAGTTAACGAACTACCCTTTGCGTACATATATATGAAAAATATGAATATTTTGTAAATTATTTTTTTCTCATACTTGTAGGTTTATATCTAATAATAATTTTTTTTGAATTTTAACTTGTTTATCTTCATCCTTTACACGTAAAAAGAGTATTGACCTAAGGAGAACATATGTTTTTAATTTCATAAATATTAAGGCAACATTTTTTTAAAAAAATTTAGCGTTTAAATTTTTAATTATTATCAACTTGTCCGTTTGCTATGTCTTTGTAAACATTTGTATTTAAGAAAAGTATTCATTCGTATTTTACAACAGTAACATCCCCACTAAATAAGTATACAAAAAAATAGATGAAATTCAAAATATTCATATTTGCCGAGAAAAAGAGTGTCTTACATTACCTTGTGTATTTTTATCTATGTTTTTATTTTTATAGTCAAAGGAATATAACTATCACTGTATAAAATTATTATCTTAAATATTTACTTACCATTTAAATAAACCATTACTTGACGACGGCGGCGTCTCCGATTTTAATATTTTGTTTTTGTAAAAAAAGATAACATATATTTCTAGTCACATGTTGTTATATGCATCTGAGTTAATCCGTAAAAATACGATAAAAACGACAATTATAAATATCGTTTGTGGCAACTAAAAATCAGTCACCATAGATAAGTATTAGCATGGAGCACATATTATTAAAATGATGTCAATTAATCATTAAAATCGACCTTTCTTTTTTTTATATTCAAGATTTAAAGAAGAAACCTTGGAAAGAACCTTAATTTGTATGTAAGTTGGCCCTTTCCGTTCTCATTGGTGTACTCAATGAAAACAAGAATAAAAATGTAATAAATGAACATACAGAAAATTATGCAGTAGTTTTTATATATTTATGTATTAATTATTAAGCATAATATTTAATTTATAGTAATATGGTATTATTGACACCAAACGGGCGGTTGATTTTCTTCGGGGAAATTCCCAGGGATTGGATACGACAACTCTAAAACCGAATTTATGAAATCTTGGTCGACATTACCTATCCATTTTGTGACTTTATTGACGAAAAGTACAGCTGACCCATGATTTTTCTTTATAAGGGTTGGGAATTCTTCCAATATTAGCGTGTCGAAGATTTGCGGAATGTCTTCTTCGACTAACTCCCAGACTTTGCAGCCTGGAAAATTTGAAGAGATTTTTATCAAATCTGATTTAATATGTTCAATAACCGCATAGGAATTAGACGTCAAAGGACTTTGTCTTTCAAGAAAAATAACGTTTCCACAAAGGTTTCGTCGTCGTGTAACCCGGTTATGTTGACGAATGAAGTGACCGTCTCGTGCATTGCAGCGTTCATTTCTTTTCTGTTTTCGTCGTTGACCAGCAACAAGTGAATGTATATCATTCGCATTATGACCATTTTCACCAGCTTCAAGACCAGTGATTTATACTCCCTTATGCCTTGCAACCCGGTGTAAAGGTTCATAGGATCTATGGCCCTCGTGTACGCTCTTGAAAACTCACCGTACACATCGCCCCAAATTTCGCCGAATTGGCCAAATTTGTTCATGACTGTATCAAAATTATAAACAACCTCGTGTATATTTTTACGACCGAAGAGCAAGTTGTCGGCATCGATCAGTTCGTAGGATTTGTTTTTTTTGGTTACACGCATCAGGTTCGAACGAATTCGATTAAAGTGTTTATTAATCTTGTCGGAAAAATGTTGAAGCGTCTCAATACTACTGTCGGTCAAGGAGAATTTGTTGTCACCCGGACAGTCCTTCATGGACTCCACCAGTTGTTTTATGATCATTTTGTCCAAACAGTTAATTTGTCCATAGTTAAATTTGCCATTATAATAGGTAATATTTTCAACGTATAATAAGAGCAGCCACATCGGATAGAGGACCCGGCGGTCGTAGTCGGCGTCCATGTTGTAGAGTATCACCAAAGCGTCTTTTGGAATTCTTTTGAACTGGTGGAACTTTAACGTGCTGTAGGCACGCATCGTCGCTATTCGCATAATCGTCAGACATATCGTTTGAATGACGCAACGTGTGTTTAACTTGATCTCTTTCCCTGTGCTGGCTAGATCCTGACTGCTGCTTGGATTGGGATAATTGTATCCCAGGTCCAAATGTACCAAAAATGCATTGTAATCTTCCTGAAGCGATTGGCCTTTACAAATCGGTTCAAACGCCGCGTATACGTTCAGAGTGTAAACGCAAAACAGCAATGTCGACAATAAAAAAACGCGGTGATCCATCGGAAACGATTATTTTTTACACAGACAAAAAGCTTATAGTTTTTAGTATTTCAAATACTGCCAAAGTCACTTCCGTCACACAATTGAGCCTTGGCCTTTTCGAAAAGACTACCGTAAGCAACTACTTGAATTGAAGAACATAAAATCTGAACACCATCGAAACATATTACCTTAAATTCGCATCGGTATGAAAACAGCTTTATGAGTAAAAATAATACTTAACAACGGTCTATGTAACCGGATTTTTCGCACTATTAAATGCGTTAGTATATAAAATATCTTGAAGTGTTGCGTGTAAAAACACACAATTATTTTTTACTATAAATTTCGGTGTCTTATTTTTTTAAAGTATTTTTCGGATCGTTGTGAACAATATTTGATCAACGCCCACCAATAGCACTTCTCTAAACCAATACACAACCAAAATACAATTTTATGCATTTTCAATTCAGAACACATATGGTTTTGGAAAACAATTTGAAATCTACATGGTGTTTAATTTAAAATATGTAGGGTTAATTTTTGTACCCCGAGTTGTTCAGAATTTTGTCTTCGGTGTCTTCAACACTCACTTCCCTTAAAAAAATTGTCTTATCTCTCTAGTCTTCGTCTACAGATTAACAACACACTTTTCTCTGCCCTTCTTTACGGTCCCGATATTTTTATATCACCTAACTTCCTAGGTCATATGGCTAAAGACCTGGCTGGCCTATCTAATTTATTAGTCAATTCTCTTTTTAATGACTTTTGTTTTCTCAATTCCCTTATTCCATTTACATTTATACCGATGACTCTGTTTCCTCTACTTCAGCAAGTTTAGACTTTTATGTCCCTAAACTTAATTTTTCTTATTCTGAAAAACAAATTTCTTATGTTTCCTCAAATTGTAAATTTATCCGGATTTAACGCTTTTTTCGGTTATGTGCCAGAGCTAAGACATGAAAATGTCAAAAAAGTGTTACCAAAAAAGCGTTACGCTGTTATCTGATATGAGATAAGAGATATGTTGTACGTTCAACGTTCAAATTAGAACTAAATAATAAATTCAAAATAGTTTAATTCTATATGTTAAATTACTTTTGGCCAGATAATAAACACTACAATTTTAGCCAGAAACTTGATTGTACATCATTTTTTAATCTCCTTGGGCTTA